AGATCATTTCTGCTTTCCCACTACCGTAAGCAACGCAACTCTGCATAAGGTTTCTTCAGAGACTTCTACATTCTGGAAACTTGCCAGCTCTTACTCATATATAGATGAATTAGTACTGATATATATGCTGCAAAAGAAGGAAAAAAAACCCTTAAGTTCAAACATAAAATAAGCTAAATAAAAGTCCGAGTAGTGAGGTGTCTAAATAGCATGCTGATAGAATTTTATACAAACACAAGCTGGAATTCTGCCCCTCCATGAAGTATTAATACATTTCCTTGACTTTCTAAAGAAATTGAAAAATCACACAGAAGATGGCAGCATCAAAAAGAAATAACACCCTCAACTGATGAGCAATTTAGGGCCACATATCTCAAGGGAGGAACCTGGCAGCGAACTTCTCAAGATTCACATGCAAGTTCTTTAGATGTTTAGGGCCTTTTTTATGTGACCATTATCATTCTCGTTAGGATCACTTGCCAGTTGAGTATTATGTGGATTTTTCTTCCAATTATTGTTTGCATGACAGTTGTGCTTATTTCCTCCCCCATGCAGATATATCACGTTTCTGACCTGGCTATTCCAGCCCTTCTCACCTGGTCAATGCTACTGCAAACACTGAGAGCAAAGGTGAATTCCCAACTCCTCTGAGTGCTCAAACCACTAACTGCTTGCTTTCCTAAGTGTTCAAATTACCAAATACAAAAACCAGCTTGCTCCATCATCATATGGGAAAGCATATTTAGGGCCTGGAAGGAAACCTCCAATCCTGGCCCACCCCATCCGTCATTGCCAGTAAAAAGGAGGAGGAAAAAAACACATTTAAATGACCTGAAAATTAACCATCAGGTTTCACTATTGGCTGATTACATGCTGGGTAGAGAAGTTCTGCAACTTTTACAAGTTTGTTTACTGCTCAAAACTTCTCCACAAGTGTCTTATACCTAGATATTTTGGAATTTTTGGAATATTAATTACCCACTGAGCCCTTCATTCAATAACAATAGATATTGGAGACCTGTAATTTGCTGCCCTGATAAGATGGAGTGAAGGTACAGTTCAACAGACCAGAGAGCCAGCAGGTCTCTACCCTTACAGTTTAGATTCAGTAGGAAACCAGCATACAAAAGAGGAAGAAAAATGCAATTAATTATCCTTCAAAAGGTCACTTCTCTTACTCCAGTGAAAAGAGACAACACACACAAGAGTACACTGTCTCCTTAGCATTAACAAAACATACTCTAAAAGGACAGATGCAACCTCGAGGCTTGGCAAGGAGCCTAGAAGCACATTTCTTTCCTGATAACAGTCTTGGAGGTATTTTCAGAAGTAATCCTTTCATTTTCAGAGGTTAAATGTCTTCTGTAAAGCACATAAGCTTAGAAGTAGCCAATCTAAGACAATACCTTCCACCACCACAGTTTTCTAGTTATGATTTAAAGAGAGGCATTTAAACATCTCTTTAAAGCATATATAAAACTCAGGGTTCTGTTTTGGCAAAAGTTGTTGCCACCAAACAATTCTCATCCAAGGAATTCCCACTCTCGTGTTGTTCTCAGAAAGCAGGGACAGGACAAAAACCCAGCCACTATCTGCTCTGTAAAAGTAAAAGCATTCCTTATCGGTCTCTCCACCCATTGCTGGTTTGTGTCAGTAAACATGGTGGACTTTTAAAAAATATTTTAAATGTTTCACTTTTCTTCTAATGCACTGTGCATCTCCAGTGTTAAAATCTCATCTTCCATCCTTGGCTCTATGTGTGTGCACAAACACTGCAGTTTTGGGGAAGAAGGTTAAACTTCACTGCACTGTCAAAGCTCCCCTCCTTCACGCAGATGTCTGAAAGAGTATTTTTTCCACATTGAACTGTGCAGTGGTGTTTGACAGCACCTCCTGAGAAATGTTCTGATACCACAGGTTTGGGACTTGACACATTTAGCCAACAGTTTCCCAGGAACAAAAAGTAGCAAAAGGTATGTGGCCTCTAGTGTCAGCTGGAATAAGTTGTAATGAGTAAGAGGAGTAGGTCTGCTGAGTAAGATTATGTCAGTTTTAGTTTGTAACTTCTCAGAATAAACTGGTTTATACAGTGTTCCAGGAATATTACCAAATAACTTCAGTGTATGGGGATGATTCAGTGTGCTGGTGAAACAGAATAATAGTTCAAAGGAACAAAACCAAGGAAGTCAGAGTTTCATGCGCTAATGCTGCTGGAAAACTCAGTCACCTAACACTTGGCAAGTTGTCAAAGTACTAAATGGCAATATATCCTCAAATAAATTAAAATTTCATAGTGCTGTCTCAACAATCTAAGAAAGTAAGTGTGACTATAATAAAGCAGGTGTTTCAGTTAATTTGTTATAACACACTAGTTCCAAAGCTGTGGTCTATTAGGCAAAAATCCAAGATCCAGATGTAGTCCGACACAGATCAAGTAGTATTAGCATCAGACAAACTCTGCTTTGTAAATGCTAGCTTTTCTGTGGTCTCCAGAGAAATCAGCTTTTCCAAAATCATACAAATTACACACTGCTCAGGAAGGACACTGGGAGTGGCCGAGGCTCTTACTGTGCTTAGTTTCAGCTGCATGATTTCCAGGGCTCACCCCCAGCTTGAAGGAAACACCCCCTATTTCATCCATGCTTGCTGACAGAGGGGAGCTCTGCACTCACCGTGTCAGTGTCAGAAAGATTTCTTCTGTAGGCACAAGCTCTCCAGGTAACCTTATGAGATGCAATCCCTAACAGCCAAGCCTCATTAGGAAAGCATTAGAAAAGACTTAACCAATGTTAATTGAGGCTGAGTGCAAGCTAGGAATGGCACCTATCAGTTTTGGATGCCCATTTGTGTTTTCAGGAGCCATGCCAGTCCTTTCTGTGCTCATCCAAAGCCAAAAGTAAATGTCTTAAGTCCCCACAATATACAGCTTTAGGTCATGCCACAGTGGGTCTCCACATCCAAACAAAACCTGGTTGAAATGATGACTAGTCCAGCACCCTCAGCTACTGTATGGAAGAAAAAGCTTCTGTTAAATGTGATTACACAAAGCTGAGCAGCAGTGGCCAACCAGCAGTCTGCTTTAGATAGACCTCTCGAAAACAAATGGAAGACATTGGGTTTTCAAGCCACCTCAGTGTCCAGGCAATAGGTTTTAGAAGTGTTTTTCTCTCAACTCTGGAAAAGAATTTCACCACAAGAGCTAAGACATCTTTGCCAGAAGCAGCTCAGATACCACTGATTTTTATCAGAACTTAAAAGATTAGTCGAATTATCATTTTCTTCTTTCACTGAAAGTTCCTGACAACTTCTGATAAGGAGAGAACATTAATACACAAAGTGCCTGTATCCAGGGCAACTAACAGGCTCAGCTGAGCAAAGACTATAATTTCTGATAAGAATGCAAGTATGCAACTAAAACATCCATATTCATTTTGCCTTTACTTTGTGGATTTGTTTATGCCAGAGAAGTAGAGTAACACAGGAAACCAAACTTACTGTACTTGTTCTTATAAGCTTATTAGCAGGTGTAGACACCAAGGAGGGAAGAAAAGGCAAGAAATCTGAAGCTCACCAGCTACATCTCTAACTGTCTCATACCACCAAGTGATATTTGCTATCAGTAAAATGTTCCATTACTTATCATACGGATCTGCTGAATGATTTTATGCCAAGCTTCAAATCCTTTATGTCAAGCTTCAAATCCTGCGTGTCATTAAGTCCCCGTAAATGGGAAAAAAGAGCACCATTACTACATGGAATCATCACACTCATTTAGAAAGTAATTAATCCTCCAGCACAGATCAGATTAGATTATAACTGAAATAAATCCATCCTTGTGTTGAAGTGCACAAGTTTAAAGTCAGGCCTGTTAAAGTACAAGAACCCTCAGCCGCAGGTTCAAATGAGATGTAAAGATGGCCTGAGTCATTTCCTCATCATGCACAGATCACCACTGTGCTGTTCTGTCTCCTCCATCAGATAGGGGTCAAAACCCTATTCAAAAGCAACTGATAGCAAGTTATTTATATCAAGAGCAAACTTTGCATTTCCAGGCAGTCCTATGTGAATTACAATACTTGGAACAGAAAACCCAACAACAAAAGGTGAAATGGGCAACATGTACTTGCCACTGTAATTAGAATTACATGTACTTGCCACTGTAATTAGAATTAGAGAAATTAAAATACCTGCTTACTGTGCAAATAAAGGATCACAGCAAACAGCATTGCTTCTGCTACCCAGGAGGTGGGGTTTTTTCCTTTTTTTTCTTTTTTCCTTTTTTGTTTGTTTAAATAAAGCATTCTGTTTATTCATTCTTCCATCTTTCAATAGACCCATCAATGTCCCCAGTCAATGAGGCATACTTCCTCCTGGGATACTTGGAAAGAGTACATCACATGTAGAGAACTACTGCTGTCACAAACATTTATTTAGTGGTGTCTTCAGAAGACCATCCATGTGATCTCTCTCAGCTTTTCTGTTTGGCTTTTTCTTTTGTCTCTCCTGAAGCCTGGACTACAGGAGAAGAGCACTTGCTACCTGGTGAGATGTAACAGGCTTGCCCATACAGAAAACCTGTTATTCAGGGAAATGAGCCAGAAGGTGAGAGCAGGCAAACAAAAGGGAAACTTCTACAATAAGATGTAAAATAATATGGGAGTACCGATGTAAAAATCACCCCCCACGCTCCACCAACATTGCTACCTCAGGAAAAACTTCTGCCGTGGAAGATTTTGCCGCCTTTCCCAGTGCAACAGGCCCCTTCAGCTCATGGCCCTGACCCTGCTTACAGGCAGCCACCTTACCTTCCCCTTCCCAGAAACACCCCCAGGAGGAACAAGAGTTGGGAAAGGCAGGTCCTTTGCTACTCTGCCCAAGCTACAATGTGTGCAAGACATCGAACCCACAGTAAAATTGAAATAAGGCAAGAGTTGGGTTTGCCCCCCCCCCCCCCCAGTCAATTGATTTTGGTTAAATTTTAAACCACGTTTTCTTTCTAGGTTCCAAAAAGAAAGACTGGAAAAAATATTTTGGAAGATATATTAGCAAAGGAAGATTTGTTTGAAAAGGTGAGTGATCCCATTCAGAAAGACATAATTAAGAGATGGATAGGTTTGAGCCACCTTGCCCCAGGGCATGGTACTAACAGCCACTAGTGATCTAAATTCTTCCAGACTCCTTGCAGATTAAGGATATTTTGGTTTTATGTTGTAAACAAAGAAATCAAAGGCAGATCATGAAACAACCTTTGCACAAAGTCATACACATGAGACAGAGTGGGAATATCAAGCCTGATCTCCAACATAACATTAAATGAAAAAATTAGCTTCCCATTAGCCTGGTCCTGACCAGCAAAGCTGTACTGACTTCAGACCACAGAGATCTGGCCAAATTTAACACACAAAAATCCCACACGCCATGTACACAAACACATAACTTGCTCCAGCTTACCAACATCACTTTTCTGTCTTCCTATGCCAGAAGTACAAAATAGTTTAGAACAGACTGTTCAAATTTGCTTGTAAACTTATAACTAGAACATTAATTCTCTATCACACTTTTTTGCCCTGTTTTTCTTTTCAGATACTGTCTCCTGCAATGTAGTAGCAACATTTCAAAAACCGTAATTATGCAAAACCCTAATAAAACAAGAGCCAAATTACCTCAAGGAAGGTTAGCAAGGAAGAGCAATTGATTAAGTCCAGCTAGGTTTCTGTGATGTAAAACAAATACATAACCTCCTATAGTATACATTTGCAGTATCAAAAATATTTATTCTACATCCACTTTCTGTAACGTTTTTCAAGAGGATATTTCAGATGAAAGTAAGGAAACATGCTCCGACATCAGTTTTCTTCAGGAAAAAATGCATACAGTGATAATTTCAGCATTTTCATTGGTGATTTTTCATTACTAAAAGCCCTCATACTTCTAAATAGTACACTCCACTGACTGTTTTTAACCCTTTAATCTGTAAAAGGATCTTTAAAGTCATTCACAGCCTAATTTTTATGCAAGAAAACATTTCAGGTAACCTGCTTCTTTTCTTTCTCCCTCTCCTTCTTTATGACTACAAAACACAAACATTAAACAAGAAAGACAGAAATAAAACACAAGAATTTCTAAAGAACACATAACATGGCTTGCACAAATTTTCAGGCAGTGCACTTTTTGTATAAATGTGACTTATTTCAGTGGAAAAACTGACTAACTTTTTGGGATGCACAAATTTGAAGACAATCAAGCCCGGAAAGCAGAGATGCAAATATAAGGAGCAGGTATAGTAATGGAATTCCTCACAAAGGCAGATGCTCCTATAACTAGATTAGGCAAAGTAGTTACAGAAATAACAGATCACACAACAAAATAACACTAAATTCATCACAAGGAAATGGGAAAGTTATTAGTAGCAAACCCATCCCTAATTCAATCTAAAGTACACATTGTATTTTATGTTAGACCTCACTGCAAATAGACTATGATGCAATTAAAATGCTACACTCTCAAATGAGATACTTTCAGGTTCTGTTTTGGAGTTCAAGAGCAAATTAAATTATAAAAGTGAAGCGCCAACTTTTTTCTGTATTTTTTTTTGTTACTACTATTTCTGACAGGGTCATGTCCCTGTCCAGGTAAACAGCTGCAGGGACATGAGGCACTTCATAGGTAAGCAGCCAGTGCAGCTCACTAAGGGCCAAAGAGCAAAGGGAATGCTTATGAGAGCTTCCAGAGCAGGTCTGAGCTCACATGTGGGTTTGGTAGCACTGCCTTCTGCTGAATATCCCAGGAGAAGGGATATTGTTGCCAGGAGAAGGCAACAAACTTAGATTTTGGTTAAAAACTCTTCCAACAGAAAAAGCACAAAGATGAATCTAAAACAGAGAAGGACTGAAGGGAACATACACGTCTGTGTAGTGCTGGAAAATGCTGCTAGTCAGACTCTAAGCATCAGCTCCATAAACCCTGCTGAGCTTAATTAACTAATTGATTAACTTAGTAACTAACTTTAATATCCTACTGAGCAGTGAGTACCTTCTGTCTCCCTGATAGCAGTTCAAATCTATAGCCCTGCTCCCCAAGTTTATTACTCAGTCTTTATTGGAAGAATTACAATAAAAAATTTACTAAAAGAGAATAAAAATACAAACAGAAAACAGAATTGATAAGAGATATTTTTGCATGCTTTGGCTGGATATACCTCAGCCTTCTATTAAACCTACAGATTGTCCTTGGAGTACTTTGCAAACAGAAACAGGCTTGACTGTCTCATTACCAAAGCAGACACAGGCTCTTGCCTGTGCTACAAAATGTGCAAAGCTGTACAGCAAAAACTCTGAAGACGGACTCCTGGCCTTGCAGGCAGGCCAAGCACACCACTGAACTCAAGGCAGCTACAAAATGACCCTTCCCAGCAGCTCGGCATTTTGGCAGAGCAAGGTGATTTCTGCCTGCAAACAGTGTAAACTCCTGAGAAGCCACAGTTCTAGGCACTGTAATACCTGCAATGCCACCACAGCATTCACCTTTGCTGCTCTGAACCATGCCCCCGTAATGGGCTGAACTGAGTTCACAAGCTTTGTTTGAAAATACAGCTACCATCAGGGGTAAGGGAGGTGACGTTTACCCACATCCTGGGGTTTTTTTTGTCCCTGAAGAAAGCCCAAGTTGCAGAGAACTTCTGCTAAAATAAGAGTGATTATTCAATTGATCAGTTACTTTACCCATTTACTTAAACCATATTTTACTACTCAACGTATTTACTTAAAACTGTGGTACTAGAATTCCACTGAACTCACTTGCAGGTTGTATATCTAGCCATCTGTACCGGAGGAGCTTCCCATAGGAATGTCCTAGTCTCAGCTGCTCAGATGATTTGGTGCAAGTATCCTGTTAGTGAATTAGAAGGATAATTCAGTATAGCTTTTTCAAGGCGCTCCACTACATATTTCACACAAACAACTTAAACTAAACAAACTCTTTACATTAAAACTTACAAAACTTCTTCCTAAATATGTACCCTCCAACCAGACAAAACTTCCTCTCACTTCAGCCTCTTCATATAACAGCAGTTAATTGCTCAATTAGCTGTTATCACATCACCTGTTTGCTATTTAGGACAGCCCAATGGGGATTCGAGACTGTGATTGGCAGCAGCTGCTAAATGAGTTGTTCAACTCCATCTGCAGTGGGACAGAAACTGCTACTTGTTCCAAATTAGGCTACTCTTACTCAAATTACCTATATGGCTAATTTTAGGTGTCAGTTTTATCCACCAATATCTGCCAATATTATGGCGTATTTTTCCTGGTATTTCTGGTCTGTGGTGTTCTCTGAAACATATTTTTGTCTAGTTTGAAGTGCTGCATTTAATTTACAAGTACATACCCTTGACATGCAAAGAAAACCTGGTGTTAAACTTGGATTTGCAAGACCCCTTGACATACCACCATACTTAGAGAACCAGAGAAACATGGAACAGCCATTCCATTAGGGACCATTAACAAAAGGAAAACCTTCTACTTGCAGTCTGTATGCCCAGGAGAACAGTTTTCTGCTATTCTTTTTAAGCAGCTGAGGTTGCTCTAGGTTGCTATTGCACTGATTTGTAGTCACTGTTGTCCTGATTTGTAATCACCATCGGCAAAAGCAGAAAACTTTTACAGAGTCTGCCAATTAATTCAGCACAAATTTCCAGTAAAGATGGACTAGTGGAAAGCCCTGGCCAAATTCCTTCTGAGTTTAGAGGAAATACAGAGGAGGAGATTAAAATGTGATGGTCTGAGGCTGTCCTTGTTTTCCTTATAAGAAAGAAATATGGTTTCTTTATCATTTTTACAAGTTGCATCATAGGTCAGCTATCACAGTTTCTGTCTGGAGAAGCCGTCAAGTAGCAATGGCTTATACGCTCCACTTCAAGAAATCTGTGCCAAAAGTCTCCAAAAACCGGGGGCCAAAAATTAGATTCTTATCTGTGTTTATGCACAAAGTTGTACGACCCACATTTTATTAGCTTCCACGGACTTTGGTTTAGAGGCCTGAATCACAACTGCGCAAGGTTTTAATTAGATATTTGGTCACTCTGCCCTTCCTTAAATTCCAGCCATTTATTAATGTACTTCCACACAAAGTTGGCAGCTTAGGTCTGGGAGGCAAAGTGAAACATATAAGCCTCCCCAAGCTAGTAACAGATAACTAACCTCGCAAGGTAGCATAAGAAATCATTTCCCCAGGAGAGGGATTGGAGTCAAGCAGGTAACCAACCATCCTGCACAAGGCTGCGTTGGCACTGACTGGTGATGAGGGGATTTTGAAGAGCTGCTGTGATTTTCACATTACACATGACTGCTACAGTATGTCTGGCTGAATAGTAGTATAGTTTTGTCCAAAAATGGTGTATTAATTTTCAGTAACAGACATGCATGCTCCATATCAGTTTAAGAAAGAGAATGGAACAAAAAGCATATCTGATGCCTACGCAAATATTTTCTTTCAAAATCCAATTAGTCTTTAAAAAACACCTAGTTGACTAAATTCTGGCATCAGGATAAGAAACAGTCTGAACCTACAACAGAACATGAGATAAGACCAATTTTCATAAATTTTGTGGTTCAGTACATTCAGTTTGTACTGCAGCTTTCTCAGATTTATTGCAATTTCAGCTTAGCTCAGTGTATCGTATGCAGAGGAACTTCAGTGTGAGTTCTCCAAGTCATGGAAGACGAACAAACATAATTATGTATACTTCCTCCTACTTCTCTTTTATATAAATCAATATTACTCCAATCTTCAGTATTTGTAGTATTGATAGTATTTGATACAATCCACAAATACTGCCCCTATTCCTTACATTCCTTTTCACTAACAAAAGGAAGGAAAAATATTTCTGCTGAGAAAAAAGAAATTTATTTGCAAGAGTTCACTAATCCCTACAGTCCCCCCTTTTACATGTACAGTTCAGTACTATGTAGCAAAATCTGGCTGGACTTTTTTCACAGACTATTACAGGACTGCGGTAATTCCGTGTTTTTGTCACAAGTTTGCTAGTAAAGCCAGTCATAAGTTACCATTCAGGCTAGAGGAAGTCACTCAGACCTGACTATGTCTTTCTATGGAATACTTTCAGCCTCATTCCCATGAATTGAGGATTAAATAAATACCTTGGTGAATAATGTAAAATTCTATTTTGTGCAATGTGAGCCTTATCAGATAAGCTTACCTGGAAATAATGTCAAATATTTACGCCATGATTAGCAAGGTAAAGCCAGGAAATCACAAACAGGAAAAAATTGTTATACTTTATGGGTTAAACAAGTCCTCTGACTCATTCTCTGTAAGTTGAAAGATTAAGCACATTGCTTTTGTGGCTACAGGAATAATAGAACTGCAATTAGATGACAAGCAGAGGGCTGTAATAAGATGGATTCTCCAGAATAAGTTCCTTAAAGTCATGAACAATATCTGTGAACAGCTTACATTTAGTGGCTCAGTATCTCTATGTCAGTGATTACTAGTGAGTAATCACTGTGTTCAATCCACAAGCATTAAGAAGATGCTCATATATATGGGCAGACAAGAGAATCTCCCTGAAGGTACTGCAGCAGGGC